ATAGGAAGGCTGAGGCCACCTCTTCGTCCACAGCGCTCGTGTCCTTCACTATATATGAGGTGAGACTTTGCAAAAGTATACGATTCTCTTGATTGGCCACCAGAACAGTGGCGTCGCCTTCGGGTCTTTCGCACAGCACTTTCGAGAGCCACGTCTGGAGTATAGTGTTGTCGGGTTGACTGAGACGGGAGAGTTTGGATAGGGATGTGCACAACCGAACCAAACTAATAGTGTCCGGATTCTTCTCCGTATTCTGGAACAGTTTGCTGAAGAACTTGAGTACACGCGTGGAATAGGCAGAGCTGAGGCTTTCATTGGAGGCCGACATCAGCAGCTGAACAATGTCTTTGGTGTCGTCTTCGCAGAAGAACTTCTCGAGCGCCGTTTGACCGGCGCTGGAATCCAGTAGTGATTCCATGAATTTAATGCATTCGATGAGAATCTTCTCCTCAACACAACACTCTTTGTTTGAGAAATTAATTAACAAATCGTACGAATGGGTCAACGCTTCCACGTATAGCGCGGAAACAAAATTGTCGCTCTCTTTGGATCCGAACGCTGTGTCCAATTGGTTCAAACCGTACGACGAGTACGACTCGCAAGTGCTGTCCAACTGAAGCGATAGCATCACTCGTATGAAGTCCTCGGAGTACTTGTTTTCGCTCCATTGGTATAAGTCTTCGGCGAATTTAAGCAAAGTATTGATAAAGTGTTTTAAATTACTGTTTGCATTGAAAGGCGTGGCCAATGAGGACGACAACGAGTTGAAGTGTTGCGACTGAATGGCCATTATATACGATTCCGACGGTATGGGCGACGAGCTGTGGTCTGTGCGCCAGTGCTGGACATCGACGGGAATAACGTTCCACTTGACCAGTATTTTCATCAAATTTCGGGGCAAATAAGTGGCCAATTGAAGAGTCAATTGGTTTAGTTTTGCATTACATTTACTGGACGTCATCTTCAGTATGGAGTTATAGGCGCTCAACAGTTTGGGCAAAGTTTTGATGCCCTGCAGCGCGTCCTCGTGTGTCATCTGATGGATGAGCGAAGAGCGGGCGCACGACAAGTGACCGCCGATCAGATTGAGTACCGACGGCAGCAGCTCTACGGACGCCTGTTTCGACTCGAGACTCGTGCCGAACACAATCTGTGTCGGACTGATGGACGGCGACGTGTCGTTGGCATTACACGCGTCCAGCGATACATTGGTTTTGGCGCACAACACGTCTAATGTAAACATATCTAAGAGCAGTGGCATCGCTTCCATGGCCACGATCTCACCGGAATCGGTGTTGTATTGGCACTGGAATTGCTTTAACATTAGTTTCTTCAACAGTTCCACATTGAAAGACATTGAATTCGCTGATTTTGTAACGCTTTTCAGCAGCGCTTCCGGTTTGACATTGGGATCCGTTTGAAGCAGTTTTGTGAGCGACTCTTTGATCCATATGTAAAACCATTTATTGTTGACAATCCGTGAAATCCAAATGCAATAGTGAAGTGTTTTCGGATTATCAAAGAGCTGGACGTCGCCGACGGACAAGAGGTGAAGGCTTTGGACAGACGGCGGCAGTTGTAGAAGAATACGCCAAACAGAGTTGAAGCCGTACTGAACGGCACAGAGACCCAAATTACTGAGTTTTGTTTCCGGATTTAAGTGCCGGTAATTAAAGTCATATTGAGAGCCGATATTCAATAGTGTTATCAACGAGTCGTAGAGTGTATCGTAAGGAAGCGTCTCCTGGAGACCAACCAATAGGAAATTCAGTGCCATTCCTGTGAAGTGACAATTCATATATAGATTAAAACAATTCAATAACGACGACAACAAGACATATACCGTCGAGTTTTGGCACATCTTTATTATTATAGATCTCAACGTTCAACAGATTGTAAAATCTCGGTCTCATAGAAGTGGCGAATATCTTGTTTTCGGTAAACTTATGGTAATTATCATCGATTTCACGGCAATGGAAATACAGTTTATTGTCGTCAACGTTGTTGTCTTTGTCGCGTTTCAAACCCGAAGCGGACGACTTGAATAGATTGGTGTCGATCTGTTCGACCAGAGAAGAGGGCGCGTCGTATAAGTTCTTAATCATGTACTCGAAGAAGTGAGTCAAACGACCCAAACAGTGGATCTGATGGTCGGTCATCTGGCGAAAGACAGTGTCGGACACGTCGACAATGGTCTGCGAGACGAGAAGCAACACTTGTTTGCGTTGAAGGAGTTTCAGATTGTGGAACAGGAAGAGCAGGAGCTGCGCGTGTTCTACGTTCAGGTCTTCCATCTCGTAGTCGTTCACCTCATCGGTGAGTATCAATTGTCTCAATCGATTCAGTAATCCGCGCCATATCTGTATCGATGGCGTGTTTGTGTCAAACCTCAGGTCTTCCTTTTCCTAAACGTATCGGTCGTTAATAAAACTAAAAATCAAATAAATAACTAATTTCTCACTTTTTGTTGTTTCAAAAGTATTATTTGCGACAAAACGGACAGAGTTTTGGGCGCGACATATAGTGGCCAAACGCCTTCGGGCGCTGGATCCGGATTCACGCCCAACGATGACAGCAACGAGTTCTGTAGCGCATCGCTCAGCACTTCAGTGGCGATCAAATTATGCATAAATGAAGTCAAAGCGGGCGAAAAATCCGAATAGAAGTTATAGTTGTGGACACATTCGCGGTCCAAGTCTTTGATAATATGCGCCAAAATACAGATCTGGGAATCATTGATCGTTTGCTTGAAATAATGCCGCAGAGACTCGATCTCCGAGCAGACAAAGTATGTGTTCAGCAATTCAAATATGGATGTCGAAAGTGTCAGATGTCGGTGCGGTTCGCGCTTATCGTTACAGTAATTCATATCAAGAGTTTGTCGGCTTTTCATCGACTTATCAGAGGCTATGTTATAAAGAAATAACGTATTAATACACGACAAACAAGATTTGTGTCATTCATTAAACCCGTTGAATACCTTGACTCTCGTCGTGCTCTCTGAACAGATGGCCTAATATGGGTTCCGAGTCCTCGTCGCGACTCGAGTCGTCTGAACTAAAGCACGACTCGTCGTCCAAATCGTGCGAATTGGAGACCGAAGGGCTGTTAGTCTTGTCGTTCTGCTCGAGACTCGCCGTTCGGGACACTGTTTTCAAAAGACCGGCCTTTCGATAGCTGGCCGACGACAGTGTGAACAAAAGGTTCGTGATGTTGATGTTGGACATCAGCATTTCGATCCTCTGCCACGCGCTATAGTAACCGAATTTGTTGTATTTGAAAGAACTCGACGAGTGATGACTCGTCAGCTTTTCGGCGTTCGAGAGTCTGTTATAAGAGCCCAAACTTATCTCAGACTTCAGGTCATCGAACAGCGAACTCAGCAGTTGAATGGCGTGAGCGGCCAATGATATGCAAAGCGTGTTATATCCTATAAAATCATAAAATAAATATCTAAACACCAATTGTGTATAAAACCAAACCTTGTTTTTTGGTCGCGTGATCTTTAGGGCCGGGAATTGTGAGAGCAATGGCTGTGACCGGAGAGGTCTTCATAATAAACTTGAGGCCCGACAGCAGTAGCCACGAGGCGAACATATGTACGTTTTNTATAAAACCAAACCTTGTTTTTTGGTCGCGTGATCTTTAGGGCCGGGAATTGTGAGAGCAATGGCTGTGACCGGAGAGGTCTTCATAATAAACTTGAGGCCCGACAGCAGTAGCCACGAGGCGAACATATGTACGTTTTGACAGATCTGTCCGCCCACTCGTATGGAGCTCTTCATGACTAACATAATGCGTTTATAAATCTCAAGACTCGTGTCTACGATCTCAGAGATAACATTCTCGTTGTCGTCGTCTTTGAGGGGCGCAGCGGTCGCTCCCTTAACGGCGGGAGAGGAGGCGCCGCCACCGGAGGCCAAGATGTTGGACGCGGTACAAGACTCGTGTCTACGATCTCAGAGATAACATTCTCGTTGTCGTCGTCTTTGAGGGGCGCAGCGGTCGCTCCCTTAACGGCGGGAGAGGAGGCGCCGCCACCGGAGGCCAAGATGTTGGACGCGGTCAGCGTTAGCGACACGTAAAGACACGCGTGTATTATTGTAATCACTTTGGAGAGACGCTCTTCGGTCAACGGTTCCAGTATTGGCAGCGAAAGTATGCGCCAAATGATGTCGTAGTCTTTGATGATTAGTTTGCATGTATGGAGTATATGGGTCTCCGGGCCAGAGGTGGGCAGCTTTAGGGGCGCGCCTTCTTCTGTCGCGTGAACTAATTGTATGAACGGTTTGATTGTCGACAAAGACATTATAAAGTCAAGCAATACATTCGTTCCGCACAGTTGTTGCAAATTAAACAAATTCTTGCCAATCAATAGACCCTTGAAATCAATTAAAACAATATAACAATTAACACATAAATACATGAGAATTGACATAAAATTAAAGCACAATTACTTTCGTGTCCATCGAAAGCGAAGAGAAGCCGACGGGAGATATGATGTTCTTATCGTTTTCCATATGACTGTCCCGTTTGGACGACGACTCCATGATTGGTGTCATGAGTTGTTCAATGATGGCTTCGCACGAGTGGTCCAAACGTATGCGTTTGGGCTCTTTGGGTGTGGTGTCATCGCGAGCGGCGGCCGACGACTTCAGTTCGGCGCCACTCGAATCGGTGGGTCTATATGTCAATGAGTCGGGCATTGGTGTGGTCTTCAGCAGCGAACTCAGCGCCAGTATATCCGACTTGAGGAGCGGCGGGATGTCATCGCACAGGCCCTGAATTATGCCAATCAGTTGGTGCTGTTATTGACAAAAGTAACCAAATAATGGCATTATATGTGTGACCAATGAATGGTAGCATTGATTCAATACTTTGGATAGTATGGACTTGTCGTCAAACTCGGAGATCTCGTGTAGGATGTGCTGCAAGACGACAGTGCAGGCCGTGGAGGCCACTGACAGCAGGCTTTTGGGTACTGAAAACATAACACACACATCAATATCAATGAGTACTCCCTCTTCGGGGGAAAGGGAAGCGATTCAAACACTAACTTTGCTGTGCATTGGAGACAATGCAATGACCAGAGAGTGCCACAAATGGGGCGAAGAATGTGCGCTCGCTTTCGGCGAACTGAAGGATTGTCTTCTCACTGCAAATAGAGAGACAAAGCATTCAATTCAATATTCAAACACTTCTTCGGCAGCGGATGTGCTGACGAAGACATACCATCTGTTGAGACACTTGATGATGGAGACGACCTCGTGTTTGGCCAAATGGTTGGGCTGTGATGTCAGCAATGGTAGCGTTTGCTGCAGTAAATCGTATTCCTCTTTAGCGCTCATATTGTCTCTCTTCTGGTGGTGTCGTCGGTGTCATCACCAGCGATGACAAGCTATGAGTCACGCAAAGGCTGTGATGTCAGCAATGGTAGCGTTTGCTGCAGTAAATCGTATTCCTCTTTAGCGCTCATATTGTCTCTCTTCTGGTGGTGTCGTCGGTGTCATCACCAGCGTACTGTTCGATACTCAGTGCGTTATGCTCACTGTTATGTTAACTAATTAGCGAAATAAACAATACTTAGCATTACATTAGCGTTATATTAACTCAGTTAGTATTCTACAAATAACGTTACTTAACACGATTTTGTTGTTGTGTTTCATTCAATGCATTGAGTGTTAAGTGAAAGCTAGACATGACTTACGTTTTGTTTTTGTTTGCGATCGGCATTTAAATGGCATACCTTTTACACCAGCTTTTGGTCCCTTTTCTTACTATACATTTCCATTGGTTTGTGTGTTATATCACTAGTATATAAAGTACGTAAAATACAATTAAATGCTACATTGTTAAAACTAATGATACTACAATTAACTAGTATAATATTGTAATATTCGCATTATTAACTAGATTAAAATTAACCATATGGGCTAATTGTCACGGATATCAAAAAGGCAGATGGAACTATGAAATAAATTCTCGTATGTTCATTTGGGTATATTTAAATTTTCAGGGCCTGCATTAAATAACGCTAGTACAAATTATTAGAATTTAAACTGATTTAATTCGACTAATTAACTACATTTACAACTTGTAAGCGTTAAATATGTTAATCGTATTCATAATAAACGCCACAAAAGTGTTGTAATTAAATGACAATTAATATGAGAGCGAAAATAACAGTTAAACCGATGGGCCATACGTTACGCCCATTCGACGCGAGTGACAGCCAATGGGAGTCGAGTTCTGGCCGTTCAAAACGGTTGTGCCATTGAATGTCATACAGAAATGCAATGCTTTTTGTTGTGATTTTATGAATGAATTTAAATCACAATTGAATTGTGTTTTTGGATCTCATTATTATTGGCCATTGATTCGCATGTCTTCACGCCGTGGGAAGTGTTGACTCATATATATAATGGCCAATCATATGAAGACTAATGCGAGTAATAATTATACAAACATTAATAATAATGACTTTCGGATCCGTTTGCGTAACGAGAATGACATGAATGGCGGCCACAGAAGTAATCACCCGAGGAATCAGTTCGCGTCGATGAATGACCACAAAGTGGTGGCACCACAACAGCCACAGCCGATGAGCACAATGGCTGCGCTCAACGCCTATCGCCGGAGGACACCGTCGCCGCCCATCACAGCTCAGGACAGGCGGCGGCTGTTAGAGAAGTTAGCCGTCGAGAAAAGACCGCAAAGCAATAGAGTTCGCTTCGGAAGCCACGGTAGCTACCAGCGCAGCTGCTGCTTCTCGACAATGTGACCCTTTTCGTCGCAAATGGACGCCTTCCGGGCGCCCGTCGCCGGCCGTACGCTCGACTGCAGCGGTCGACTCAAACGGCTCGAAGAGTCCGGACTTATCGAAAGGTTTCGTAACTTTAATACCAAAAGCATTCCTCTGGCGCTCGAAGAGGAGGAAGAGAGCGACGACATCGAGATTATCGACGAGAAACAGGTCTTATATCTTAAAGAAGTTTATTATTTGTTAGTTTTGTTTTAATTGACTATAATTTGTGTCCATTTTGTAGCACAAGAGGGACGACCCGAATGAACCGTTAGTGTGCTAACTCAACTTCAGCAGGCTTCTCAAACTCGGCAATAAACACAGAGTCTAGTCTCTACTCCACGCTTTCTAGTCGTGAGTAAGCAAACCCAGCGTCTCGCCAAGGGTTTCTCGGGAAAGAGTTGCCAGTGATTTGTGTTACGATAATAACGCGAAGCGGAAGTCATCAAACAGTGTGAACAACAAGTCTCAGAACTGTTCCACGAATGGCAGCAATAAGTGGTCCAAAACGGTGGCCAATGTGTCCACGAAGTCCAACAGCAGTAATCTTCGCGTGTCTTCGCGTAAAAGCAAATCAAACGAAGACATCAAAGGAGATAATTGTAAGACAAAATTAATTTTTTATTTTACATTATTATTAATTAATATTTGCTTAATAAATGATTTTTTAGTTAATTAAACTACATATTTGTATTGAGTGTTAAATTTGATCGCAAACTATATTGTGTCAAACGTTTAAGTTTTAAAATACTATTTATTGTTTCATCGGATAAATTGCAAAATGTCTTCACATCTAAATGTCTTAAATTGGGAACAATTGTGTCGATGGAGGCGAAGAAACTGTCGTCGACTCGCATATACTTTACCGACAAATATCTCAACCGATGTCCACATTTCTTCAGACACTTTAAATCAACCAATTGTTTGCTTAACGGTATGTCCGGATCGACAGCCTCTGAATCCCAGTCCTCTAGCGATGAGTAAATCACTTCAAACCGTAATTTTCTAAGTGTTGTAAAGTTTCTAAAACTTTCAAAACAGTTTCTGGCATTCAATCCCTTTTGAACCCAACATTTCAATGAAAAACTTGACAAATGTCGACATTTCACTGCAATTAAGTCCACATTTGTGGCCATCAAGTGATCATAGGATTCAATATCACCTAAAATAATTGCTAAATGTTTAATGTTGGTGAAACGGGATAACTGTTCCAGCACTGGATTTCTGGGAACAGTGGGCCCGCCATCGTGTGCCCCGTAATCCCACTCCATGTCCACACCGAAGTCGGTTAACCTGTGCTGAAGAGTGTTCACAATCTCGATGAATAGATCCAGATTATCAACACTTAAATTATCTATTTTTGTTAATTTGTTCATACATTGAATGTCTGGCATCAGATACTTTGTGCAAACACTGCTTATGGACACTAACTGTGGACACAATCGCAACACATGGTGTCCGTTATGAAAGGCATTATCACTAATCAGGCATTGAATATGAGGCCCAAACTTGTGGAAAAACTTTGTCATAGCATCGGATCCGATGCAAAAAAAGTTAAATTCAAAGAGCATAAGGCGCTGACAATTAGCCATTACTGTGGCCAACACTTCACCGCTGTTGCGAACGCATCCCAAATGAAGTTTGTCTATATTTTTAAATATCTTAAGCACTTGTGTCAAGCGTTTTGGGCTTAAATCTATACTATATTCGGTGACAATCGCTGACACCAACTCTTGTCCGTAGTGTCGGTTGTCTTCCCTCTGTTTGTCATTGATTTTCAACACCCGTTGCCGTAAACACAACGCCCGAAGACATCTGTCAAACTGTTTGGACACACATTTAAATCTTAGTTTATCGCCGATTGGCAGCCATTGGAGTACGTCTTCGGCTAAATCGTCGCAAAACCTGTCGCTAAACGAGCGCTTCGTATAAACATTTGAATACATAATTCAACATAAAATTAATTAATTTTTATTTGTTTTAATTAAATTGCTTTATTAAATGATGAATAAACGCTAACAATATATGAAATACAAGTGTTATTTACAATATATTGTATTAATATAAAAGTTATACATTTAAATCTAATCAAATAAATGATATCAAAGTATCCTTGGTTACTATTCATAAAGCAATAGTATCCTAATGCTTTATAATGTTGCATCCTAATTGTATGATAAGTTATCATTGATAACTTGTAAATATGTTGACTCAAACTTTGAATTGGCATATAATCAGTAAATCTGTGCTTAAATTAGCAACAAATAATAAAAACATATTGTTTGACACTAATTATGAGTTTATTATGTAAAATAATTCATTAGCAATACTTTTCTTAAAAATACTAAATTTAAATCCTATTTAAAATAATTTTATAATTAATGAGATTTTAAGTGCTATGTTTTATTGAATTTATTTAAACTATAAATATATTTAACAATTAAAATAAATTTAATTAAAAACATACTATTTTTATTAATTTAATAATATATTGTATGAATAAAAGGATAATAAAATAAATGCAAATAATTGTCTGAATCATAAATATAACGTAAATAATGACACGAATTATATATTAATTGTATGAAAAATAATGTATTTCTTCTTATGATTGCAAACGGTATACAAAATCGGTATATTTTACACAGAAATTGCAATACAAGTAATGAGACAACACTTTATAGACAACAATCATAATTACCATAATTATTGATTATAAAAGCCACTAGTTCACTTTAGATCCTAATACACACAGTTATAGCAAACAC